CTCCGTTCGTCCCCATCGAGCTCTTTCTGTTTCCGCAGATTCGGGGATTATGGAATACTTGGATGGTGCCTGCTCGATCGACGGCATCAAAAAATTGTGCCAAGTGAGCAGCCTTGCGCAATTTTTTAATGAAGTTTTTGGGCCAGTGGGTTCCGAAAGGCATTCCAAAGCAGAAATGAATTTTGTAGAGACGATGGCAGGGTACAGCATTGTTTCCTACATGCTTCAGGTCAAAGATAGACATAACGGCAATCTTATGATTAGCAATGAGGGACACTTGGTGCATATCGACTTTGGGTTTATGTTTGCTACGTCACCTGGTGGGATAAATTTTGAATCTGCCCCCTTTAAGCTTTCGCAGGAGCTTATGGAAGTGATGGGAGGTGTTGGAAGTGCAGCGTTCAATTACTTCAAGTTGTTACTTTATCAGGGAATGGTGGCGGTACGGGAGCGTGCAGACGATATTTTAGGCCTTGTGTCGCTCATGACTCCTTACAACACCATGTCTTGCTTTGGTAGTGATCCCGCAAGTACCGTTCAACAGCTGCGCTCTCGTTTTCGCTTTGACTTGGAGACCGAGACGGATTTTGCCCTCCATGTAAAAGAACTCATTCTGGGAAGCGTCGATAATTGGCGAACGAGGCGATACGATCAGTTTCAAACCCTTCAGAATGGTATTTTGTGAGTCAGTAAATGAGTTAGAAAATGGGTAGAAGTATTTGCGTACATGTGTGGCTTTCTTTACACGTTTACACGTGACAAATTGCAGAACCAAGTTCAACATGACAACAACAACAAAGAAAAAAAAAAAAAAACTGAAATGAAGTATGACTGCTTGAGTGGATGCATTTTTATTCAAAAGAAGACTCAAAACATAACTACTTTTTTGTTGTTCTACCACTGTTTTTCCTCACGTCTTGTTACATTGTGAAATTTTTTTTTGGGGGGTTTACATTTATTTATTTATTGCCATGTTTTTGCTCTGAGGGAGAAGTGAACTTGTGGGAGGTGCTCGGCATGAAGGACGAATACGACGCGCCGTTGCTTTCACGTGGGGAGTTTGAGGCCATCAAGCATGACCCACTGCTCATACTTGAGCGGGGCACAAAGGCTATCATGTCTCTTCAACAGGACGAGGCCGCATTGAGGGCAGAACGTGAAACTATCCAGTTGCACCTGCAGGATGCCGACAAGGATGGGGGTTTCGACAGCCAACGGTACAGGGAGGTCATGAATGCGACGGCTGAACTGGAACGGGATCACCGCATGTTGTCAGTACGGTGCACCGACACAGAGTTGAGCAACAAACGGTTGGCGAAGGTTGTCGACGAGCTGCGGCAGGAAAAGGGGGCGTTAAGAGAGGAATTGCAGACGTTGAAGCTTACCCAAGACTCTCTTGCGAAGCAACATGCCGACACTGTTAACCGAATGGCAGTTTTTGAGAAGGCTGCCCCAGATGATGCGGCAAAGATGAAGGGGCTGCAGGATGCCATTACGAAAAAAATTGAATCTCTAGACCTCCTCACGAAAGAAATTGTGAGTGTTACCAACAAATCGGCGAGCCTTCAAAGAAAAGCAGAACAGTTGGGATGCGAGCGTCTTGTGCTAGAGGCGGAAACACTGGCACTGGAGCAGACGACGACGCAGCAGGAGAGGACAATCAATTATCTTCAATATGAGTCGGCACAACTTAATGAGGCCATCAATAAAAGGAAGTCAGAACTTGTTGAAGTGAAGAAACAGACGGCGGCGACGCTACTCGAGCTTCAACTTCAGCTGACGAGAGCGGAGGAGGAACTGACACGACTCAATAACGCGGTTGCCAATGAAAAGAGTTTGACTGGACGACAGAACATATGGCAAGCGAAGGAGCTCCACGCAAAGACGGAGGATCTTCTTGCTGCCCATCAGGAAATGGCAAAAGAGCGTGGAGAGATGAAGAATGAACTGGCTTTAGTACAAGAAAAAGTTTATCGCCTCAAAAACAATGTACTTGTAGTAGAAAAGCAAAACCAGGTACTGAATGGGACACTGCAGATGCTTGAGGAGGAGGATCAACTGATGAAGACAACATACAATGAACGCAAGAACGAGGCGCTTGAAGAAATGAACAAACAGTCAGCAATCGTACGTCAACTTAACGCCGAACTTGAAGAGGCACGCGAGAATCTTTATTTGTTGAATTCCAAAGTCTGCAAGGCTTGTCGTACAGCCATTTTCCCAAGTGATTTGCCAGACTCCTCTTCGAGAAGAGGGTAAAAGGCACAAAAAGAGAGTAATGCCGTTTATATGAGTTATCGAATTTTTTTTCCTTTTTCTTTTTCCTCCTTTCCCATTTTCTTTTTTTGTTTTCTTTTAAAGAATATATATATATATATATATTTGGTAGTTGAGGTTATTTTTTGCTGGTGAACCGTTTTTTTTGCAATTTTTTTTTTTTTGCGAATTTTGAGTGTATTGCTTGTGCCCCCTTCTTTTTTACTCTCTGTCTGTCTGTGTGGGCGTGGCTTATCTATCTGCAGGGTTAGTAGTTGCTGCAAAGTTGCGGAAATTTGAAGTAGTGGATTTTTTTTCTTTTGAATGCATTTTTTTCTTCTGTTTTTTTTTTTTTCTTTTTTTTTTTTTCTTCTTTTTACAATATATATATATGTATGTTTATATATATTGTTTGTGCCTCTTTAATTTTGGGGGGAGGATCAAGTCAAGGCGCTTAGGCCCATGCACAACGGTGCCGCTGTTAAATTGGAACCGAAAGGCCATGCTGTCAGAGGCCTGTTTTTTGGCCATCCTCTTTTGGATATGTTGACCAGTTCCTCGGTGGAGATCTTGGCATCTTACGGCATTTGTGAGGGCAGTGTTGCACTCGCTGAGTCGGAACAAATGCCAATTTTTACGACGCTTTTATCTTCGGAAAACACGGTCTATCACGCTGGTGGATCTGCTATGAACACGGCTCGCACAATGAAGTGGATTTGCCCGGAAATGAGCGTCTGTTTTGTGGGTGCCATTGGCTGCGATCGGTTTTGTGAAATCCTTACGAGGGCACTGGATGCCGCTGGGGTGGAACATCTTTTCGAGTATCACGACAAAATTCCAACCGGAGTATGTGCCTCGTTGGTTGTCCACAAGGAACGGTCCATGTTGGCTAGCCTTGGCGCCGCCACCCAACTCTCCTTCGAGCACATGAAAAGTTTGGAGGTGGAGAGAGCGATTAAAAACGCTGGTTTTTATTATACTGAGGGTTTTTTTCTAAATACCATTTCTAGCCCGGATAATATAAAGCTTGTGGCTGAACATGCCCAAAGAGAGGAGAAACTATTTTGCCTTAACCTCAATGCTCCGTATATAAGCGCTGCTTTTGGTGACAAACTAAGACTTCTTCTTCCATATGTAGATATTCTTTTTGGATGCAAAGAGGATTTTTTTGCGTTCAGTGACATGATGTGGGGTGGCGAGGTTATGGGTGACATAAAGGAGATACTGATGCGTTTGGTTCAACTGCCTAAAAAGAGTGTTTCGCATCCACGTCTCGTAGTTTGTACATGCGGTGGGGAAGAAACTCTTGTGGGGTCTGAAGATGGCGTCCTTGCCTACTCTGTGCCGGCCTTGGATAAGACGCGCGTTGTGGACGTGACTGGCGCCGGGGATGCATTTGCCGGTGGGTTTTTGGCACAGTATCTCTCCCACTCTAATATTGACCACTGTGTGGAAGCGGGCCATGCTTCTGCGGCGGTTGTTATTCGCCAATGGGGGGCCAATTTTTGCGAGAGTCCTCCTCAATTAAAGGCACCTAACTGAGTACGAAGAGTGTGAGGCGAAAATGAGTGATATTCTTGGCGGCTTTCTCTTTCACCTGCTTTCCCTTTATTCTTTTGGGGTGAATGGTGTGAGGAGTGTGCTTTTTTGCGTTTGAAGTGAACACAATTTTTGAATTGCGAGGCGAAAATGCGTTTTTTTTTTTTTTTTCTTTGTTGGGCGGTTGCAGTGGACATGCGTGTGGGATGCTTCAGGAAGGACGACAAATAATAAAAGGAAAAAAAAGAAAAAAGAAAAAAGAAAAATTGTGATTTTTATATTGTTGAAAACTCTTTTTGTATTTAATTTGTTCTGCAATTTTTTTTTTTTTTGCGGCCTAAATAAAAACAATAATAAAAGTAGGGGAAAAACAAGAAAAGCCCCATAAAACCCTCAATTGCGCAGCATTTTTTGTTGTTTTTTGAGCCGATAGGTGGAAGTAGAGAATGCGTGAATAAGTTTCTTTTCCCTCTTTTTTTTTTTTTTTTTTGTGCATGTGTGTGTGTGTGTTTTCTTTCAGCAATTGGAAAAAGAAAAAAAAAAAAAAAAACAGACGCCAATAGAAGCTGGCGTGTGCTGTTGTTCTCCAATACATCTTTATATATACATATTCTTTCTCTCTCTCTCTCTGTATGTGTGTGTGCAAAATGTCTTTATGGATTTGCTTGATTTGTGCGTTGTGCCGGGGCAATTTTTACTCTTGCTTTTTTTTTTTTCATTTTTGCTTTTTGTTTTTCTTCCTGTAGGGTCGTGGGCTTGTAGCGGGCGAGGAGGAGAGGCGTCACTGACACACCTTTACGGTGGATGACGTCGGCCGGTGCAGGGGAGATCTTTCTCCGGCACAACCCGTACCGAAGCGAGGTCATCTCATGGTACAGAAAGTTTCTGAAGGCGTCTTTTTCTGTGCCATGGGAGACAGACGAGGATGCGTTGTACGTGCTGGAGGAAGCACGGAGGCTTTTTCGAAAAAACGCCCGCATTAACGACATTGAAACTATAGAGCGAAAGCTGCGTGAGGCGGAGATGCGCTATGAGATTGGTGTCCACTACAGGATTCCGTACCCGAGAGCATTTCATAAAACCCAAGGGTCTCTGCAGGAAAGTGGTGTGGCGTATGCTGCTGATCTTGACTCCATGTACGATCATCCTGTGAGTCCTCGAATTGGGTGGATAATGGAAGGTAGCGTAAATGGTGGCACGATGGGCGGTTCAGAGCATTTAACGCAGTATCTAGAGGATGGTCCTGGTGTGGAGGACGACAATCTATCTGAAGGACGGTGAGCAATGGTGGTGGTGGGCTGCAATTGTTTTCTTGTTGTTTCATTTTCTCAGTTTTTCGATGCTCGTGCGTGCGAATGTGTGGAAGTTTTCGGTTTTTTTTTTTTTCTTTTTTTTTTTTTGCGCCTGGTTCTGGCGTCGTGGTGGCATTCTATTTCCAATGCAAGTATCCATCATATGTATGTATATATGGTTCTTGTTTTTGGCTATCCTGCTTCATGCAGCAATAATCAACTGATTTCTTTCCCTTTTTTTTTTTTTTTTTTTTTTTTGCATTGCACAGCTAGGTTAGTGTTGGCGTGTGTGGGCTTCTTAGTTGATGATTAGTCAGGGATTTCTTCATAGCTTGATATGTATACTACGGATTGCGTTGGATCTTTTGTGTGAGGTTGCTGCTGGCGTGTTTGGAATTCCACTGGGGTCACCGACGCAGTTGGTACTGACGAAAAAGGCGCAGGCGGCCAGAACGTACGATGAATGGATAATAATTGCCCGCCAACTAGACGAGTTGGACGGATTTCAGGCCTGGCGATTAAAGGGGGAGTCAAGATTCATGAACTTTGATGGACTTGTTGGCCGCATTGGGCTCTTGACAACCCTGAAGAGGAAAGGAAACGCGGAGGTGTTGTTGGCTGTTCTCTCAACTGGCCTTCAGCGCTCGGTATTTGGCATAACGAATCCAAATCTTTACAGGTATCTCTCAGGCACCAAGGCAGTCATTGAGGCATACAACTCCCTGCTTGTGTATCTGATTCAAAAGCTTGCACGGGACACCTCTGTTGATGCGAGGAAAAGGTACTCTACTTTCATGGATGTGGCCCGTGTGTATGGCAGCACAGCTCTTGTTTTTCACGGGGATATGATGCTGGGGCAATTTCATTTTGGTGCCGCAAAGGCGCTTTGGAACGCCAATTTGTTACCGAGATTTTTCTACGGTGGAAGAACAGGTGCCCTCGTTTCAGCATTTCTGTGTTGCAAACGAAATTTGGCGGAGGTGTTTGATGTGGACGAGGCTGCGTTTTCCACATTCAGCAAGGCAACCTTGGGACTCTTTGACTGGCGGTGGCAACGCTTGTGGAACGAAGGATATTTTTTCAATATACACGTTCTTGTGAATTTTATGAGAGAACACCTGGGGGACTTAACATTTCTGGAGGCGTATCAATTAACTGGACGTGTTCTTAACATTGAATACACCCCGGAAACTGTGGGTGTATCGCATAAAAGAGCTCCCTTAGTGCGGTTACTAAATTACCTCACGGCTCCCAGCGTGCTTGTGTACAGTGCAGTAGCGGCTTCCTTTGCCTCCATGCCACAGTTCTTTGAACGCTATCCGTTATTGGCAAAAGACTTGAATGGTTGCGTTGTGCCGTACGATCCGCCGGTCATGGGATGTGTGGGCAGACGGTCAGATGGAAAAGTTGACGGACTTGAACGTTTGCGCCAGTTGTTTCATATCAAATGTTTTATCGTCTCGGAATGTTCTTTCTCCCAATTGCCATTCTTGAGAATTGCCGGCTGCACCTCCTTACCGGCCCGTGTGTGGCAGGCTTTCTCCCAGGAATGGTGGCATTTATGTTTATTTTTTGTTTCTTTTATGCCATTTCAGAAATATTTATGGGCATTCTTTTCAAATGGCGATATGGACGCGGAAGATGTCATAAAAGTGTTTCCTGCAGCCTCTTTCTCGGATTTTATTACTTCCTTTCAGCTTCAGCCTTTTTCCCTGAAGGCATTTCAGGAGCACGTGCTGCGGGGAGAAAGGGGGCTTTGGCCTTTTCTTGAACGCATACGAGAGCAAATTGCAGCAGAATTTGCTTTGAACGATGCCTTAATGCAGTTGCGCCACATGGATGGAGCATTGTCCGTGGAGGATGAGAATCCGTACTCGGGATAAGGAGGGGTCTCAGAGTCAGGGTGGACTTTTATTATTATTGTTTTTTGGGAATTGAAGTACGTGGGTTGCTTTTTTTTTTTTTTTTTTTTCTATGCTATTATGCCTGCTTGCTTATTTCCATACCTTCTTATCCCTCCTGCTGGCGGAGATGGGCATGAGGCGATGCTGAGGGACGAGACACCGACCCCATTGGGCTTCTAATTTGTACACAAATTTTTTCTCTTGTTCCCGTCAGCAGCGTTTTTTCTCTTATTTTTCCAGCTAGGGGACTCATGTCATATGTCTATCCGTGTCTTGTGGTTGCTGTTTTGCCCCTCCTTCTCACTTTTTTTTTTTTTTTCTGGGAGTTTTGCCACAGTGTGAAGTTTCAAGGATGCCGACAGTGAATGAGATTCAGCCCCGCTCGTCAGGATCGACACTTTATATCGTGCGCAATGTACAGGGCCGGCAATGTCTTGCCCCGCAATCGCAGCCTGACAACTTGAGCTTTACGTTTCTTGTGAAACTGGACCCGAAAAGTGGCCAGGAATTTTATGTTAATGTCACGACAAAGGCAAAGTCGTGGGATCTTCCCGACATTGATGCGGAGCGTGCAGCTGACCCATCGCATAAGGATGGCAGTGAATTATCGCCGCCGTTACAGACGGTGGAGGTCTTTGGCACAACTTACGAATTGACGCAGTGTGACGGTGATGAGCGATACGTTCCGAAGCGGCTGCCGTTTGAACCTTTACCGATTCATTGCTGGCGGCCGGTTCGGGACGCCTCGGCGGGTCGTTTTTTGTACGAAAACTGCGAGACGGCTGAGCGAGTCACAAAATTGCCGCCCATTGAGTACTACTGCGATGCTGTGAGGCAAATTTACGAGTTTTATGGCATTGAAGGGTCCTACGTTGACGCTATTCGTCGTTGTTTTGGCAATGAGAATTGGCTGGTTGAATCGCTTTCGATTCAGTATGGGCCAAGACCGCTTCGAAGCGATGAGGTCATGGAGCTGGCAGAGTGCTACTTTCAACGGCATGACAAGTCAATGCTGGGTGAGATGGATAGCCTTTTGGGGCAGTGGAGTGGGAACGAAATTGGGTTTGTTGATGCACTTTACAAAGAATACGGTGAACGCCCACGCACCACACGTGAACGTGTTCGTGCAGTATACGCCCAGTATTGCCCTTCCATGATTTTTTATTGTGATGAGCAGGTGGATCAATACAAGGAACGTGATGATGAACTTATTGATGCATTGGAAATTAAATTTGGGCCTGAGATGATCAAGGGGGAGGAGCCCTTGGAAACCATAATGCAACGTGTGCGGTGTCAGTTTCTCAAGTATGACCCTGAACGTGTCGCTGATATTGAAAATATTCTGGCGAAGCACAAAGGGGCTGAGGTGCAGTTACTTGAGCTCCTCGTTTGCCACTATGGCCCCGAGGTGAGCCCCGAGGAGAGGGAGAAGCTCCTCAAGGATCAGCTGCAAACGGCGTGGAATGAGGCGGACTATGCGTGTGGAGACAGTTGGGAAGAAGCTTCCAACGAACAGCCTGTAAAAGAAACAGCTGCGGCAAAAAATGGGGAGCCGACACCGACCAGCAAAGAGACGGGTGCGTGGAATTGCAATTCCGACGAAGCCAATCTGGGGAATTACAACGAAGAGGAATTGAATGATTGTTCGGCATCGGTGAAGCTGTTTTCGGAGGAATGGGCCCCAGCAATATCACGCGTAGTCACGCAGGCCAACAGCGTTGCGATGGAATTACAGGAAAGCGTTGAGCCCGACATGTCAAGGCGATCTTCACCCACAGCCGCAGTGTATGCCTCATCTATGTCTATGAGGGAAGCCAATGACACTATGAAAAGTTTGCGTCTTGCGTCTTCTGCGGCACGGGGATCCAGTTCCATCGTATCGTCCTCATTCCCGAATGCAGACTCGGCGTGGAGGAAGCACACGGAGATCCTGGAGAATGAGCGAAGGTTGCGTGAGCAGGAGTTCCAAAAACAGCAGCAATGCATTCTTTTTGAAGAGGAAAAGCAAGCAAGGGAGTTTGAGGCACATCAGCGCCTTCTTGCAATTGAGAGGGAACGGCGTTCTCAAGAGGAGGCGAAGAGAATTATGGAGGTTGCACAGGACGCTGCAATGCATGCAGTAAAGGAATTGACGCGGCTACAGCAACTTCGAGATGATGAGTATGGGTGCGATGAGCGTTCCGGGGATGTTTCACGCCAACAAGAACATCGTCAAGCAATCGAGGCCTTGGCTTCCGCCAATGAGGCTCTCATGGGGCAGCTTTCTCACACGGAGGCACAACTACGGGACGCCCTGGCGTCTCTAGAGAGTTACTCTGAGCGAAATGAAAGGCTTCGAGCTGAAAATTTAAGTGTGGCAACAAACTTTGCAGAAATGCAGCGTCAATATGAGTTGGAGCTACAGGGAATGCGTATTTACCTTGACGACACACGTGTGCGGCTCGCCAAGAAGATAAGCGAGCAGGAGGTAAAAATGCTTCACCTCAAGAAAGAAGAGGAAACAACCACCACCAACTTGCTCCGGGAGCTTGAAATTGAGCGTAACAATGCTGCCAAGGCAAAGGATGCCTGGGAGCTTGAGAAAACAGAACTTCGAACAAACATTGCCGGTTTGAAGCAACAGGTGAAAACAATAGTGGAAGAGCGAGAGCATATGAAGGCTAAACTCAACTCTCGCGATATCGTTCTCAGTGAGCGCACGAAAGAAATAGAGGAACTCTATGATGCTATGAAGCGTCAGAGGCTAGAAAGAATAGAAGTGGCAAGCCAAACGGAAGAATTTGACTTGAGCGTTGTGTTGACAGAAGTGCGCGCCTCTGAGGAGCCATCCCATACTTTGAATGCTCTGACATCCCTTTCCACACGCCTCAATTCTTCGGTCAATGTTTCTCCGGAGGCGAATGACTTGCAGAAGGCCTATAAGAGAAGCCAGCAGACCGTGTTGGAGTTGCTGGCAGTGAATAAAAAAATGAAGACAGAATCCGAGAAGGCCCGTGAGTTCATTGGAATTTTGCGGCAGAGGGTGAGGTCGCTAGAAGCCACTGTCGAGAAACTTGAACTGAGGCAGTTGGCGGTGCCTGATATTCCAGTGTGCGCTACAGAGCAGGATGTTGTCGTGGTGAATCTCAAGGAGGATCTACTGAAGGTGGGAAGCCGTCTTCTTGAGGCTGATGCGGAGTCAACGCGGCTTAAGCGTGAGATAAGGGATTTAAGAAGTCTTCTTTCTCTTTACATGTCTAACACGAAGAAGTTGTAAGGGGGTCATTTTCCTCCTCCCTCCAAAAAAAAAAAAAAAAAAAGGAAAACCTCGCTGCTGCAAGATTTTTTTTTTTTTTTTTTTTTTGCAGAGTGTAGGCACGCTTGCGGCAAATGGGGGCATCCTCTCACTCGTGGGAGAAGCAATAGATGAATTGCTGTCATTGAAATAAGGGAAAGGAAAAGCGTCCATATTACTGTATTTATTTATTTTGACTGTGACGGATTTTTTTCTTTCTTTTTTTTGCTTTGAGCGGACCGGGAGACGGTGTGTGATCTTTTCTTTTGAGACGACACGCCACACGTGTATCTCTCAATATCGCCTTATCGATATCGTTTTTTTTCCTTATGCATCTTTGACCGGGTGAAGCGGAGTGGTTGGGGAGAAAGGGCTGGATTCTCCCGGTTGTCTCCGGCGGCTCTTGCAAATGAGCACGTGGCTGTTGATGTTGAAATTGCTTTTGTTTCTTTCTCTCTCTCTCTTTTTTTTTTTTTTTTTTTTCTTTCTTTATTGGCGGTTCTTTTTCTTGTGTTGTACTTCTTCTGTGTTTCGTCGTTTGCCAGAAATCGGGTTGTCTTCCAGGGGTGGGTGCTGCTGGCGATAGACTGCAGCGTACAAATAGAGGACTGCAAGCACTAAGCCAGAGGGCCCTCAATTTTTAAACACAGCGCACAAGCGCAAGCAAAAAAAAAAAAAAAAAAAAAAAACAAATAAATAAAAAAATAAATAAAGAGAAGTAGTTTTAAAACCAATATGGCGTTTTTTTATGCAATATTTTGGGTGTCTTTAACGGTACTCCTTCTTCAGTGTTGTGTGCCACAGTGGCTGACGGTGCAAGCCTCAAATGCGATGACCAACCCCGATTTACGAAAAGTCTCATTATCGCTTTTGGGGAATTTGCACTATGATGTGCTTTTCGGCAAACCGGGTGGGTATGGCGTGTGTAACCAGGGCCAGCCATCCATTGCAACGCCTGGGTGCGATTCCCCTCTGAAGCTTATCCGTTCCGCTATGCGCGATGTATCCCAGTGGAAGGATTCGTTCACATTGATTACGGGCGGTTTGCTTCGCCACGGCACAGATACGATTGCCACGACTGAAATTGAGAGCATGATGAAAGATGTGGTGGTGGAAATAGCTAATAGTAGTAGGGAAAGCCATTTAAAAAAGAAGGGAGCTACATATCCAGTAGCTCTGTCTTTTGGCGGTACGGATTTTATTCCTGCTAACTCCTTTTCTCCAGAAGGGAAGCAGCCGCATTTTACTCGACTACTAAATCTGTTGGAATTGTATGAGCTTTTAAATTCTCAGGAGAGTAAAAAGCTGGGGAACTGCGGGTACTTTTTTCGGGATTTGAATGGCACGAAGCTTCGTGTGATTTCTTTGAACACGCTGCTTTGGTCAAATGCGCTAAGACCGGGGTTTGGAGTAGGTGATGTGGATCCATGTGGGCAATTTCCTTTTCTTCAAGGTGCCATTGAGCAAGCCAAACAGCGCGGTCGGAGCGTTATCATTCTTGGTGACACCCCTCCTGTTATTAATGTAGCGGATGCTCTGCGCAAGAGCAGTGTTCAAGAAGCTGAATCTTACTGGCGTGAGGATTTTACTGAAGCATACTTTCGAATAATTGCTACGTATCGATTTTCCATTGCAGCACAGTTTTTTGGGCACACGAACAGCTTTGCTTTTGTGGATTCACCTGAGGTGGGCCCCCCGCTTTACATCGTTCCTCCTATCTCTCCAGTGACAGGCAGCAATCCATCTTACTTGCGAGCTACTTTGGACACTAATACAGGAAGAGTTGTCACGCTAAAGCAACGATACTGAGCGAGAACGG